TCGTGCTTGTTGCAGCGGTTCCTGCGTGGCTGAGTGCTTGAAAATATCCAACTGAATGCCGACATGTGCAATTAACGACAAATCAAAGTGTTAATCCATTTGTTACTTGATGTTTCACGGTTCAGTGTCACTCATCATGTTTTGGTTTTAACATACATACAAACATACGTACATACAAACAACGTACAACTGCTTACATACGTACTTCTCACATCCATATTTTCAGCGAATCAGAGCGAAATAGTATTTAAGATTCGGAATATTTTTAATTTCGAAATAAAACCTTCATTCCGGAATGAAATGTATTTTTCGAAACGGTATTTCTAAACCGAAACGAAATACATAAACACTCCTTAAATCAATCTATCAATCGATTCATTTAATACTGTCCGAAATACAATAGAAATTTCATCCCAAAATTGTTTGTTTGTGTGCATGCTCTTAAATACTTTGTATGTTTTTGTATGCGTTTGTTTTTAGGTGTGCTGAAAAATAATTCTTTAAGGTACTTTAAAACCGGTTTAATATGGTACGTTTTATTGTAAGACTGGTTTATGTTTTGTATGTATGGATAGATGTTTGTGTGTGTTTGTATGTTTGTATCATTCTGTACAAATGTAAAGCGCTTTTAAATTTTATATTTGCATTTTTGTATATGTGTAGTTTGTGTGTTTTTTTTGTTAGTTAGATGGTTGGTGTGTCGGTACGTATATTTGTGTGTATACGTGTTCGTATGTCTGCATATGTGTGTGTGTGTAGGTGTGGTGTGTGTGTATGTGTGAAAGTTTGTTTCCGGACTGAATTATGTATTCTAGGAGGCTGGTTTGAATTTTGATAGAAGATCGTTATCATCAGCATAGTAATCATCAACATCATCATCGTCATCGTCATCAGCTTCATTATCAGCAGCAGTAGTAGCTGCAATAGCTGCAATTGTGAAACCATCATCATCAGCATCATCAGCTGCGGCTGATCATCATTATCATCATTAGCATGAACTTATTCCCTGTAGAATCATCTCCATTTTAGTTACAATTTTTTTTACCCTGTGGATCAGTTTGCATTTGAAGACACTCACTTCCTCACACAAATGTAGACGCTCTTAACCATTACACTAGCAAGCCTTCTATGTATATATGTTTGTATGTTTCCTTTTTAGGTTTCTATGTATGTTTGTTTGTATGTTTTTTTTTTGAATTTGTATATTTTGGCTGTGATACTCGAATGTCTCTACTGTTTTGTATGTCTTTTAAGCTTTTTGTATGTTTTTGCATATATATGTACCTTTTGTATGTTTGTATGTACTTTTTTGTATGTTTGTATATACATTTTTGTAATTTGTATGTACGTTACTGCAATGTTTGGTATGTTCTTCTGTATGTTTGTTTGTATCAGCTAAAAAGTATAAATTAGTATGTTTTGGCTTTGATATTTGAATGTTTTAATTGTTTCGTATGTTTTTGCATATATATACGTACATTTTTGTATGTTTGTATGTACCTTTTTGTATGTTTGTATATACATTTTTGTAATTTGTATGTACGCTACTGCAATGTTTGGTATGTTCTTCTGTATGTTTGTATATAAAACATTGTAGGTATATGCTATCTTAAGTGATGATAATACAAAATAGTGCCCTAAGATTGTAAGTAAATATCCAGGTATTTGGTGATATACCTCAGGGTCTTTCTGGCAGTGTCTTTAATTGCATGTCAATAATATGTGGCTAGAGAATTGGTTTGAATTTTTTTCATGTTGGTTTTTTTTTTTTATGTTTGGTTGGATCGTGTTGCTGAATTGTTTGTGTATGTCTGTGCTCAAGTGTGTGTGTTTGTATGTGTTTTTTTGTATGTGTGTGTGTGTGTTTGGATGTGTTTGTTTGTTTGTGTGTGTGTGGGTTTGATGTATTTGTTTGGTGTGTGTGTGTTTGGATGTGTTTGTTTGTTTGTGTGTGTGGATGTGTTTGTTTGTTTGTTTTTGTGTGCGTGTGTGTGTGTGTGTGGATGTGTTTGTTTGTATGTGTGT